TCGAACCATACGATCGAAATTGATCTCTTCGCGATCAAATTCAACATGCTCTTACTTTTAAGCTTCCTTCCTTTTGCATGATCCTACAAAACATCAAAATGCGAAACTTGTCAAATTATGTATTAAGATCAAGAATTAGGAACTTAATAGAGTTAGATAGTGGACATACCTGAATTAGAACTATAAATTTGATTAAAGTTCTCAGCTAGTCAAGGAAGCTTCACTTTTAGTGTCCCTTTCCTTGGCAATAGAAACACACAGGCTCATTTGGAATGTCTCATGGAACAGTCTCAGAATTGGCCTTTCTCTTATGATCAAAACTTTTGTCCATGGTCAATTCATTTCCTTTAGGAGAAGGAATCATTTCTAGGATGTCCATGTTAGCTTAGGATGTAGATCTTCCAATCAAATTTACTTGACCATTGCGCAAAACCATTGCTGATTCAACAACAAGTAGCAAATAGGTAAGATCAATAAGGGTCATGTCGTGATCTATCACATAGTAGTCTTTAACGAACTCACTATATGACTCGGGAAGTGACTGAAGAACCAAGTCGATAGCCAACTTCCTTGGGAACACGACACCCAACATTCCCAACCTCTCAATATGCAGCTTCATGTCCAAGACATGAGCACATATAAACTTTCCATCTTTTTGTTTACTATCCAATAGGGATTGAGCGATATTGAACTTTTCAAGTCTTCAAGCTCGTGGTTCAAGGAGAATAATTAGAGGAGGTAGAGGAAGTCAAGTATGATTTCGGGGAACATCATCTTCACGAGGAAAGCTTTTCCTAAAAGATTTGGGAAGACCATAGTTGTCAAAACTAGACATCTACAAGGAGAAATTCAAGTTTAGTTGATTTAAGTCCTTAATATAACACCCAAAATAAAATATTAAGGCTAGGACCCAAAAAATATTTTACAATTCGGAAGAGGGATGCCGTAATCCAATTGCAAAATATTTGAAGGTAGGTAAATGACGATTTACCAATTTCCACCATGAAAAACAAAATTGATTATTAAGTTTTAATTGGTTTGAAATTCCTAGATCCTTTGAGATTCATTGAACTTTTCAATGGCATGTTTAAATCTCGATTGTGCCCTTCAAGTCTATGACTGGGATGCCGAAGATCACAAACAAGGTGTGAATAACCATGCAAATTAGCTTGGTACACTTAATGTTACAGATCACCTAATCAATGTGCCGGTTAACCACACACACTCCATTGATCTATGATTAACATCAAGCTACCCTCTGCCACACACTGTCAATCCCAGATTAATGTGCCGGTTAACCACATGCACTCCACTAACGATTTAACAAGGTGCAAATTACAATTGCATGGGTTAACACCAAATTCACATTTTTCCTAAGTAACTAAGATTGGGAGTTTATAAGTTTTTAGTTACTTGGTATTTTCATTATACTTTTAATGAGAATTAATGTCCTATCCTACCCGTTCGGCTAATGACCCTTCACCAATCAAGTAAGCGGTGTGTGAGAGTGGACACTCATTAAACTGCCATTTTATAGGCAGTAACCTTATACCCTCCTTATAGACCGGCTACGTGAATGAGGCCTACTAACGATAAGATTGGCTTTACTCATATATATATATATATATATATATATATATATATATATATATATATATATATATTAAACCTATAATATTATAATAATATAAGGGTTGAATGTTAAACTTTTAAAAATTTTAGGGTTTTGAACTAAATGTTTTAAAAGTTAGACTTTTGCATTTACAAATTCCAAAACTTGAGGGCAAGTTTTGCAACTTTCAAAACTTTTTGAATCCATAACTTATGAGTTTAATAAAGACTTTATGAAAAGACTCTTGACATTCCATAACTTGAGAACAAGTTATGGAGTTCATAAAAATATTTATGTATGACCTTTCAAGTTCCACTGTTGGATTTTGTATACTATAACATCAAGATGCTAATACAAAATTAAAACTATTTAATTTATTATTAAGTTATGAACTCATGAGTTACAATTTTGAAAACTTTTCAAATAACTTTAGTTTTAGAATTCAATGTCTCATATTTTTTTTTTCAAATTCCAAACCTTGAGGGGAAATTTTGTAACTCTTGAAAACTTTTAGAATTCCATAAAAGAGACTTTCCAAGTTCCATAACTTAAGTGCAAGTTATGAAACTCTTCAAAGTCATTTATAACAAAATTTGTAACCTTTGAAGACTCTTGGAATTCATAACTTAAAGAGCTAATGAATGAGACTTTTCACATCCATAACTTATGGAAGTTTCAAAACTCTTAAGATCATAACTTTTTTAAAAAGACTTTTGAGTTCCAAAATTTTATGACAAAATTTGCAACTCCTTAAAAACATTTAGATCAAACTTTTAAAACATATAAAATAATGATATCATTCTATCTTATACTAAATTGATCTAATTCAACTCTTGTAGTAAAATGACTCAAATTTTACAAATAATTAGTTTTTCATAAAATCAAGTAATTATCTTAAAATTTGACAAACTTCATGTTTTTTTCTTTCAACTTTGAAAATCAAACGTTTGCATCAAGATAACAAAAAACAACCCACATCTTTGATACCATTGTTGTGTTTTGAACATTCTAACACTCCTATAGTGTACATCCAACCCTAGATGCATTGGATCTATCTTTTCTCTAATTACATGTAAACTTTGTTTTCCAAAGAATCATCCTAACTAGCATACAATAGAGTATCTTTACTACAATGTTCTAGTTAGATGACATACCTTTTTTTGTAGTTGGAAACCTTGTTGTGTTTGGCCTTTAAGAACTTAGCACCAATAGTTTGAATGCCTCAAATGGAATCACAACACACCTAGAACAAAAGGTGACTTTTGAGAGAGTTTCTTACACTCCAAAATTTGCTCATTTATTCCAATGATCACTAGTGTATGTAGTAGCCAATTTTCGATGCTAAGGGTTTCTTATATAGTGTGCCACATTAGGGTGACATCAGGTAAACATTAATAGCCATGACTTTCCATATTCCTTAGGATCCATGGGTTTAAACCTCCATGGATCATACATGGGTTGTCACATGGGTTTAGCCCAACCTAAGGAATCATGGATCATTGACCCACACCATAAGAATGAATGATTTACCAATCAACCCCTTATATTTAATTAGTCTCTTTTTGATCATAGAATTAATTCCAAATTAATTCTTGATATATACTAATTAAATAATATGATTTCATATTAATATATTAGAACTTATACTATATTAACAAATCATAAATAACCTCTTCTCAAAAGTCCATCCTAGCAAATTGTCCTGGTGATATGCAACCCAAATGGACCATGCTACTCTCGGGTCAAGTACATACCAATAATAGTTATGGACTTAGACACTAATCCAATAGAATAGGGCGCTAATGAAGAAGAAGATGAACTAGCCACTGACAAGGGAGAAGATTTTGTCCAGGGAATGAAATCTCAACCAATATTGAACAAACACATCTATTCACATCCACTTCTTCATCCACTCCCTTTGTAGATGATGCTGTACAACGTGGATCAACCTACATCTAGTGGAACCTACTAAGCCACTGATCCAATATGTAGTTTCTCCAAGATGTGTGTCTCATTCTCCTCAAGGTGAGACTGTTCCTCCTATGACAACACCTATTCATACTGATGCTTTTTATCAGGCAGAATCCAACTTCAGTTTTTAAACAACTGTGCTCTCTAAAATTTCTCTATTAGTGAAAATAACTCAATCAGTGGGAGAAAGATTGATTAAAGTTGAAAATTATGTGGCTGATATGAAGTGTTTTATGACCCTCGGTGATGATGATGCTGATGATATGGTTATTATAGATACTCTACCAAATTCTCCAGGAGACAATCCACCTTTACCTCCACCTCTATCATCAAATCTACCTCTACCTCCTCCTCCACCATATCATCCTCCGCCTCATACTCCTTCTCCAACACCTGGTTTTCCTCCCCAAACTAATGATGCTAGGGGGAAGAATAGTCAAGGAAGCAATGATAAACAAATGAATGATTAGTAAATGGTGATGATTGCATAAACTCCATCTCAACTTGAAATGTCTGAATTAGGAAGGGTTAATAATCAAAAGTCAATCGCTGTAAATGTACAAGAAAGCAACATCCCAAACGCTGATGCAACAAGAGATGATCAGTTATCCCAAACAGTGGTGATCAATTAGAGACTGATGACTATGAAGGGTTTCTTGATCTAGGATTCATGCCACAAGCTGCTATTCCTGTTGTTCCTTTGAGTGTCGTCTACCATGATTCATAGTTTGAGGGGGGAGATTCATCAAGGAACTTACAATGACATAGAGTCTGATAGTAATAAGCTCAATCCTTAAAAGAGGAATGCTTCCTTCTTAGGGGGAGCCCATGATGCTAAAGCTCGAAGCTCTTCTACTAATGGTGATCCTTCAGCTCCCCCTCCTTCAAAGAAAATCATGATCACTATTGCTTTCGATGTTTTAGTTAAAGTATGAAATATATCTATTGAGGACACTACTAGCAAAACAGCCTTTTACGACGCGTAATGCGTGTTGTAAAACGCTCAGACGACGCGCAAATGCGTGTTAAGGAAGGCCCTGTCATAACTATAGACGACACGCTTTTGTGCGTCGTCTATAGACGATGCACATTTACGACGCGCATTTATGAAATGTAATGCGTATCAGTAAAGCCGCTGTCAAGAAAGGCCATGTCATAAATGAATATGACACACATTTTTGTGTATCGTAATATTATTTTATTTTTTTTAAAATTATTTATAGATTTACTAATTTTCAAATTAAATTTTCATTTCATGTCTCATAATAGAAAATAAAATAACATATACAAAAAATACAATCCATTGCACAAAAGTTAATGTCATACTAATAATCATTCCAATAGTAGACAAATATTTGTACATTGTTATTAAGAGGTTTTCCCTAACTATATAACCTAGTACTACAATGCTATTTCCTTAGTTTGTGTACATTGTTGTAAGCAAGTGTGTATTGAAGCACCTTCCATGCAATACTACCCCCTTGACCAATGCTAGTATCTGAATCAAAACTTTCTTGTAAATCATAAGAAATAAGATAAAAGAAAAACTACCTTTTATGTATTTGAGAAGTATTATGATTTGTATGTATGAAATACCTGCAAGATTTGGGGATTAGCCTGCACCATGGCTCGAAGTGCTTGAAACTGGAACAAAAATATAAATTATATTTTTATTTTGATGAGATAATTAATAATTAATGTGTATGTAGATATGGTTGACTAGTTTATAAATAGATAAATAAATAAATAAATACCTGTGGTCTGTTACGAAGAAAATCCAAGTTACCAGTAGCACCATCATGACCCTTTGCGTCCATGTCAGGAAGTCCCTGGACCAAACACGAAAAGGTTACAATCTACAGGATCTAAAACAAAAATTGTCAATGTGAAAGTGAAGAAAAATATTGATAACCAGGGGAGAGATTTAAAGGGTTTGAATTTGGTCCATTTGGAGGAACAACTGCAGCTGGCGGGGGCTAAGAAATATGCAGACCTAAACTCCATAAAATTTGATGTAAATATATCACTGAGATTAAAAATCCACATAAGAACATGCTACAATATTGGTACAAGGGCATGCTTATTAATTTGAATCCAACATTTCCATTTTGTTCCACTCCTGGGTTTCTTCAATCCCATCTTTAAATTCACATAGATGAAATGAGCAGGAAAAGAAGCTTGTTGCTGAGATAAAGAGAACTGCTAAAACAAGAAATGAGGTCAGTTGCTTTAAACTCACATAGCATATACTTTGTTGATTATCAGTTATTATATGAAGACGAAATTTTTTAGCTGCTTCCAAGTGCTGTAAATTGGAAGATAATGATAGTGAAAGACCTTCGACTCCACCAACGCCTTCACCTTCATGTGATGTGCCACCAGGAGGTACCCATCTGAATATAGATGGACCAAAATGCCCTTTTCCAGCTCCTGTGACATAGAATTCAAAAGGTAGAATTACCCATGTGAGAGATTGAATATATAATCTTGTGACGTAGAATTCAAAAGGTAGAAGTACCTTCTCCTCAAGTGCTTTTGATTGTACTACTTCCATATCACTTCGATATTCTTGAATATTGATGTCATCTTCATCTGACTTCAGACCTATATTCGACATAAATTGATGATGAGAGAGATTAAAGACAAAAAAGGAGGTAAAACAGAAAGTATCAAATGGGTGTTCCTAGATAGGTTCGTCAAATCTGATAAATTAAAACAAAGATAAAATAAAAAACTCTGTGACTTTTTATGAATTTAAAAGAATGAATACTATACTAACATAACCACTTAAGTCTAGTGAAAAAGAGAGGCAGGAAGCAAAGCTCTCAGATATCGTTTTCATCGTTCTTAAATTCACTCTCTCACATGTACACACACTCTCTCTCCATCCTTTTCTTTCTCTTTTACAGTACTGAGTATTCTCTGCAATTGCCTTCTTGATAGAGAGAAAGAGATGAACTACTCTGCAATTTCCTTTTCTCGTAGAACACTTTTCATGAATCTAACAAACCCTTAACATTACATGCTATTAAAAAAACACACTGATTTGAATTACAGAGAAAAACAATCCCATCTGACCAAGTCAATACAGAAGTAGTTCAACTGAATGAAGTAAAAGAAAGAAAGAAAAGAGGGAGATCCAGGAATAAAATATGTCTTCATTCTAACTGTTCTGCTATTAAAAAAACACACCCATTTGAATTAGTGAGAAAAACAATCCCATTTGAATTACCTCTATGAATTTTTGGAAAACTAACTGTTCTGGTATATGGGAAAAACTTCATATTTCCAAAAGTGCCCCTGAAAATTCCCCTCCTCAGGCATCTCCTCCATCAGATGGAATAAGTCCCACTGCTGAAATTCCTTCTTTGCCCCCGATATCGCCTCCACACTATATTCCTCAAGGTAAAACATTAGCCAAAAATTAATAATAAGAAGAAGGGTAAGGACGAAGTTGTGATCAAATTAAAAGGAGAAGAGGGAGCATATCGGTTAGAATAAGGCTTATCTGATTGTAATCAAACAATATATTCTCTATTTTTAGTACCAAACACAACAACATAACCTTAGACCTCAGTTAGTTGCCGAATCACCAAGCACAACCCTAAATCTTCGATGAGTCACAGTCGCCGTCGAGGTGAGGTCAGACGACATCACCAACCTATTATAGAGAGCACTCCTTTACGTTTTGAATGGTTCTTGAAAAAATCCCTAGAATCGCCCCTTCAATTTTGTGTGTGTGTGTGTGTGTGTGTTTGAGAGAGAGATAGAGATAGAGATAGAGATAGCGATAAGTCTGTCCGTGTGTGAGAGTCGGCATATGTTGAATAGGGTTTTTGAAAAAAGAAGTAGAATCGTCCGTTCATGGCGTGCCTTTCAAACTTTTCGGAATTTCATTTCCTCCAAAAGAACCCCGCGTTTCATTAAAAAAAATATAAAGCGACATACGTAGAGGACGCACATTTTATGTTATGTGCCCTCCGTATTTTTTTTCAATGTGACACTTATTTTTGGATGCACGGAAATGTGTGCCCTAAATCCTTCTAATTTTTGGAGAGCTAACATTATTTTTAGGGCACACACTATTGCGTATTATAAAACAATGCATGTCATGGTTCGCGTGTCGTAAAATGTTGTTTTTGTAATAGTGGGAAGTAAACGAAATCATGATAGAGAATAATGATGCTGTTCGAGAAATAATAGAAGATAGAAAATGGGAACGTCTGTTTGCCAAACATGATCAAGCTCTTGCTTCCGCTGATGAAAGCACTGATGTTCAAAGCACTACTAATCAAATCAAGAAAATTTAGCTTTTCAATAATAGTGTAGACAAACAACACATGTCTTCAGAGCTAAACCACAGGATTAACAAAAAGAAGTTTGGAGATGTTTTGACTTGTAGAACAAATTCTGATCCCATTATCAAGGTAAGGTGTATTAAACCAAGTAATGAGTCATTAAAGCTTCACTTGGTCTGGAAGAAGACTGTGTATGAATATAATGCAATTGTATTTGCTTATTAGCTAGTCAAGTTTGTCTACAACAAGTGGATGCAAATTCAAGAAATGATTGACAAACATAAAGGTATTCATGCGCAAGAGGTGAAATTAGCAATCAACAGCTACTCAATAAAGTCAAGAAGCTGAATCTTGAGCCATCAGCTGGTCCATCTAGACCATCCACCTCAAGAAGAATAGGAACCCCTAGAAAGTCCAAGAATACTAAGTTTCTTCTTCCATATGGAACTCGTTACATCAACAATGAACTGCCAGTAGGCGTTGAACCTATTATGTACATGTTCACTCGATAGCCAGAACATGGTATCTTTTATCTTGATTGTTAAAATCACATGTGTTTTCAACGCACTGATGATCTTCCTGCTGCTCCCAATGAGCATTTATTTCATCTTCGCATGGAAGGAATTAGTCAAATAGAACTAGAAAGATGATATCATATAATAATCTCTTTGGAGCTTAGCAAAAGATTGGAAGAACTTCAAATTGATGTATTCATATGGGTGAAGCCTGAAATCTTGAAAGAAGTTGAAAAATTCTACAATGGTTCTTTTGATGAATCTTCTAAAGAAGAATATTAGTTTTGAAATCATCAGATAGGGGGAGATTTTAAGGTCATACCTTATGATATGATGAGTAAAACACTCTATACAATGACCACTAGCACTAGCACAAATATCAGCATCATCGTCAGCACCTCAAGCCTTATCAACGTCAGTGTGTAGAATAGTAATCTTATGTAATATTTTTATATTAGGTAATTTTATTGATATGTAATGAATAGATAGAAGATCCGATATCTTTGTGATGATGACCGGTTCTTAGTATATATTAGATACAATAACTTCAATAAAGGGATATACTAGTATAGTTTCGTATATATTCAACATTAAGATGAAACCCTAATGTAATCGTATTGGTGACCATTTTTGTGACAACTTATTTTCTTAGTGAAAGACAATTTGGAAAACATCTCGTGTTCTTTACTTTTTATGTTCTTTATTTTCTTAGTTAATTTGATTTTGTTCATTATACTTGAAATGTATCCGACCGATACAAACCTTCAGGTGATGGAGTCTAAATGATCACAAAACTCTAGCCATAGTGTCCTTTATATAGGGACCAAATCCCAGGGATTAGGGTTTCTCTAAAATTGGTTGCTACGCTGTGGCGGGTCATTTAAATCCGTGGTCAAGAAAAAATAACACCACACTGTGGTGAATCCCCACCATGCCGTGGCCGCCTAAGAATAAAATTCCGAAAAATTAAATGAATTGAATCATACCTAAAACGGGTGTTACAACTTTCCCCCACTTGAATTAGACTTCATCCTTGAAGTCCGCAACCGAAAACAATCAGAGTAATTCTCCTTCATCTTGATTTCAGGTTCCCAAGTCCATTATGAACTCTTTTGGTACTGTCACTACACCTTCACCAAACTAACAACCTTGTTACAAAAAGTCTTCGTCTTCCTATCAAGGATCGTAATCGGTCTCTCTATATAATTCATGCACTCATCCATCTACAACTGAGAGATGTGAAAAGTATTATGGATATGACTAAGGTCCTTGGGTAGATCCAAATGATACGCAACCATGCTTACCTAGGCAATAACCCTAAAAGGACCAATATATCTGGGGCCCAACTTGCCCCGCTTCCTGAACCGGAAAACACCCTTCCACGGTGATACCTTCAGGAGTACCATATCACGATCGAAAACTCCAACTCTGATCGGTGTATATCAACATAACTCTTATGTCGGCTATGTACGATCTGAAGCCTACCGCGCACCTGCTATATCAACTACGTAGTCCTAAGTACCACCTCCATAATCCCTATGAATCGCTGATTGAACTCACCCCAACAAATAGGGGTCTGACATTTCCTTCCGTAGAGCACCTCAAAGGGAGGTCGGTCAATATTGGCATGGTAGCTACTATTATACGAGAACTCAACCATAGGAAGATATGAATCCCAACTACCACTAAAATCCAAGACACATGCCCGAAGTATATCCTATAAAGTCTGGATAGTCTGCTCACTATACACTCACTCTTCTGGTGATCTTCCAAATATGGGACCGAAACTCTCCGATGCAAGGTCGTCAATGCGCGACTATCATAATCAAAAGAGGATACCTGAAACACTATACACTCACTCTTCTGGTGCTCTTCCTTCATAACCTTAACACGAGCCTTACAAATCTGTTCTAAAAGTGGAGTAATCACTATCATCCTTAGACACAAACCTCTGATCGAAGCATTAGCTATCTTACGGCTGAGAGCGTCGGTTGCCACATTGGCCTTCACAGGGTGATAAATGATCTCACAATCATAATCATTTCACCACATCGAGCTATCTATGCTGCCTCATGCTAAGATTTGGTTCATCCATCAAACAACTCAAACTCTAGTGATCAGTGTAAATAGTACAATGGACCCCATACAAATAATGTTGCAAAATATCGAGGGTGAAAACTGTTGGGTTTTGAGCATTTTAACACTCCTATGGTGTACATGCAACCCTATAAAACTTGGATCTATGTTTTCTCTATTATACATGCAAATATGAACTTTCCAAGGCTTTAATCCTAACTAGCATATTATGAAGTTCTTATAGTACAAAGTACTAGTTAGATGACATACCTTTTGATGTAGCTTGATGTCTTCAAGCTTTAAGAGCTTAGCCCCAATAGTGTGGAAGCCTCAAGTTGAATCACAAATCACCAAAACACCTTGGAAGACTTTAGAGAATATGGATACTTGGTTCTCTCTAGTGAAATCGGCTAGCCCTTCTTAGTGTACCACACTAGTCTAATTTCACCAACCAATGACATCTTTATATAGTATGGAGACTAGGGTTAAATCCATGACCTTTCATTTCATATGATCCATGGGTTAAGCACTCCATGGACTATCCATGAAAGCTTAGCCTAACCTAAATGAACTTGGCCCATTCCATATATATAAGAGTCCATATTTAATTAGTTCATTTTGATCACTTAATTAATTCTAAATTAATTCTTGATCAATACTAATTAAATAATATGATTCCATATTAATATATTAGAACTTATAATATATTAATATTAATCATAAATATA